AGTTGGAGACCGAGTTGCAATTGTACCTGGAAGAACTTTGGCCAGATGAATCGGATAACAATTCTGATAAAACTAGAAAGTGGATCTCAAATAAAAGTTGCTGTTTTAGAAGCATTCAGTCCATCTGAATCAAATTTCGAACCATTAAGCGAAAATGACTCAGATTCCCGACCATGGCTTGCCATCCAGTAGTAAATGAAGAAAAAGAAGTTCTAAAAAGAGTAATGAGTTGGAAAAACAGTTTACTTCACTGTTTTCAAGAAACTCAGCAAACTCCATCAAACGAAGAAGAATCTCCAGAAATTGTAGCTAAAGAGAAGCAAACTTGGTTGCTGTTGAGTCTAAAATGTAAAAAATGGACACAGGTGGTCCTCTCAACCAAAGGCCGCTACTAAAACTCCAAAACGTAACTTCGTACATTTTGTTCAAGGCCCCTCTGGTAAAAGCAAGGAAGCACAAACTCCCTTAGAAGCTTTTCATTGTTTTGTGAGTCCAGAGTCTCTGGCAAAAATTATTTTAATACTTTGCTGCTGCCCAAAAAGACAATCATTTAGCGACAAGACAAATGTTTGATGACAAAATTTCTGGGGCGATATATAAAGCAACTATGGGCCGGGAAAGATTTGAATTTCATATAGAATGTTTACGTTTTGATGATAAAACTTCTAGACCAGAGAGAAAAAAAACAGACCTATTAGCAGCCATTCGTGAAATATGGGATGATCTTATATATAACTGCAAAACTTTCTATAAGCCCTGATCATACCTAACAATTGATGTCTAATTGATCTAAAAGCTACTGGATTTTAGGGGAAGATGTGCTTTAAGGATGTATATCCCAAACAAGCCAGCCAAATATGGACTGAAAATAGTAATGCTGTATGACGTAGGTACCAAATATATGTCCAATGCAGAATTGTATTTAGGAAAGGGAACTAAAACCGATGGACTGCCTCTAGGAGAATGTTATGTAAAACAATTAATTAATAATAGCATCAGAGCTCTTAAAACTTCCTTACAATTTAAATATAGGTGGTACTCTACGCAAAATAAAAGAGAAATACTTCCAAAGATGATAAATCACAAAAATCGTGTGAAGTTGGTCATTCCTTATTTTGCTTCGATGGTGAGAAAACAATGGTATCCTACAAGATAAAAGTAAATAAGTCTAGTGATTCTTCTGTCGACAATCCACAACGATCCAGTAGAATGTGATCGGACTGGAAAGCCAGATATCATTAAATTTTATAATGCAACCAAGTAGGGAGTAGACACATTTGACAAATGTGCGGAAACGTGAACATCTCCAGAAAAACAAGAAGATGACCTCTTTGCCTTGTCTATGGCATGATAAATATTATCATCATCATCATCATCAATTAGCCTATGTTTGTCCACTGCTGAACGTAGGCCTCCCGTAAAATTTTCCACCTATTTCTATCTTGAGCTTCTTGCATCCAGTTTGTGGTGATGCGCTTGATATCATCCGTCCATCTAGTCGGTGGTCGTCCTCTGCTTCGATATGCATCTTGTCTTGGTCGCCATTCCAGAATCTTTTTGGTCCATCTATCATCCGTTAATCTGGCAACATGTCCGGCCCAAGCCCATTTAGCACTGGCTATTTTTTCAACTGCATCTGTGACTCCTGTTCTTCTTATTTCTAGGTTTGCTACTTTATCTCTGATGGTAATACCTAATATTGATCTTTCCATAGCGCGTTAAACTCTTGGATCATTTATAATCATAACCAACAATGATAGCAGAAAAAAAACATCGCCAGAAAAAAATTTATGGTCATTTTGTCTGAACAACTGACAATACGTTGGCTACAGCATCGTGTAAATTGGCCAACTTTGAACCGCTCGGTAGCTTATTGTTGAAAAGTTGAAGTTGCTTATTGAAAATATTTTAAATCTGGAGCTGCAGCAAGAACAAATATGCCCTAGTGTGTCAAAATGTGCCATGTGTCTAAAAAACGTCACATGACAACCCATCATTGCGAGCACTGCCAACGTCCATTATGTGTTGAACATCGCGCCCTTTGTTATCAGCAGTGTAGATCAAAAATGTAGAATTTATGATTTTTAGATTTTAGAAACATCTTTTTGTTAAAAATAATTTGTAAAGTTAAGATAAATAAAATACTTTTTCCGTGACCACATTTTTTTTCTCAACGTAGGAAATTTTACAATGGTTAGTGTAAATAAAGGTAAAAAATAAGGTTAGTATTCTGGGGTTAGTGCCTTAAAACAATTTTTAGTAATAAGGTATGACCGATTTATTCCTTCTACGAACGTGTAAGTTAATTTGGTTCTCACTTTTTTATGGTCAATTTTTCGCGCTTGCATTATTCCGAAATATTTGTGCATATCGTTTCCACATTATGGCCTCGATGTTTTGTTCATCTTGCATATCGAATCCTCCGGACTGAACCTTTCCTCTGACTATATTTAGAACAACTTCTCTATATCATTATTTCTCAATATCATTTGAGAAAGTTTTTACAGTTTTTAGCATCTGATCTAGGTGATTTCTAGTAGAAGTCATTAATTACAACAAATTTACAACATATAATTAAGCTTCGCCACAACACTATTGCTATTTTGGAGTTCAACTCTGAGTTAGTGGAGTTCAGAAGCTAAGATAGTGGATTGATCGCTAGACATAACCAAAGTAGAGTCAACTCAAAGTAGAGTCCCCTTGGAAAGGCCCCGTTAATTGGAATATCTCTTCAGTTTTGACATTGTTTTAACCATGCATTTGAAGGTGAATTTTAGTATCTCATTAGTAATTATATTTATTTATAATCCATTCATGTGATACTGAATCAAAAGCCTTCTTTGGTAAGGCAGTAAAAATGTTTCCTTGTGGGGTATGCCTAGTTAAAAATGATTGGGTTGATTATAATTTGTTTTTGCAGCCCATGGAATCCACAACACATCCTTTCTGTTGAGGTTATATAATACTGTTTAGAGCATAATGTTGGTAGATACACTGTGAAATGCAATATGTGACCATTTTGTAAACAGTGGGAAGACAAGTAATTGGACAGTACTTGGCTAGATCTTGAATGTTGATGCTATGTATTTTGGTACCAATGTTTATTTTTGTACCAAGTGAGATAGTTATATATTATAGGTATAGATAGTAGTGAGGTTAGGAGATAGCAGCAGTTTTGGGGGTTTAAGGTTAATTGTAAGTTTTAGATTCATAGTTATTGGAGGATTTTCTGGCTTTATTAATACATAACAATTAGCATCATGAGAATATCACTAACCGTGGAGACATGAACTGTTAAACTGTTAACATAAGAAATCAAATAAGCATGTAGTACTTCAATATGAAGAGTATTCTCTTACTGTAAGTAGTCATTACTGAAGTACCGAAAATATGCTACTTATTAATTGGAAATACTGTCTGGACCTCCTGTGGACACAGAAATTATATGGTTGTATGGTTTAAAAAACCTTTGTGTTATTAATAATTGAAAAGTGAGGGTACTTACATACTTATATGTGTTAAATTCCTTTCTAATTTAAAAAGTGTAGATTTAGTATAAGCACAACAAAACATAATTTGATATATATTGATACCAAGGTAGGTACTGTTAATGACTAGTTACAACAGGAATGTAGGTTCGACAAATGGCAAACATTTTTGACAGTGTAGAAACAGAAATCTTCAGCACATGTTAAGATATTGCAATTAATGCATATACTATGCAGATTCATAGAGTATAATATTAAACAAAGAACTAATGACACAGTCTTGTGGTAAACCTTGATCTCTTACAGGAAACACTACTTTTGGACTAATCAATTAATTAATGCACCAGATGTAGCAGATTAATATTTTCAGTTTTTATTTCAGTAATTAATTAATTAATTAATAAGTATTTCAGCAAGATGTACTTTATTTTAGATTCTTCTCTTAAATAAATCATAATGTTTTCGTAAGTGTAGAGAATACCAGATAGCTACCAGTAAGGCACTACAAAGAAGACCATCCAGGCAGTTCACTGTGACAAACAAACAGTCATTAAGAAAGGATTAATAAATACTAAATACTAGTTTAGAAATGTGTTATGTGTACCTTAGTGCTGGATATCCTATGAACTTCATCCTCTACAGATGTTTATAATTATCATTCAGTATATTTATAGTTTGATAAATGTGCTAATTATCTTTTAATATAATCCTAATCTTAGCTGAAGAAGATAAGAGAAAAAATGCACTGTTTTAGTGACCTGGACATTTTAGTAAAGATCAGTTATCAGTAATATGACATAAAGAAATGAAATGAAAATGCAGTAATTTGGAAAAACACATGTACTGATAATATGAGGTAAAAAATTCTTATATAGTAATACAGAATAATGACATAGAGATGTTAAAATAATCTTAGTTACCATTGTAGTAAATAAATAGTATTGAAAATTCAATCAATGGGAAAAACCATGTACTGCTAATGTGAAGTCGAGAACAAATTCTCATGTAGTTCCAGAATACAAATATCAAGCAAACTAATTCACATTTGTAGTTATAGTCACTTAGTGATACTAAGAATGAGAATACAAGAACTTCCTGATATGAAGCACCAGAACAAATTAAATATCCTTAAAGGAATATGACCAAAAAAATTAGTAGCAGAATTTGATATACTTAATTATTTTTCTTAAAACATTAATTGGCAACTCTAATAAAAATTCTGATAACTTTCAATGTTTATTAAATATGTTTTGTACCTTTAGGTGGATAAAGAAACTACACAAGCAAAATCAAGAATATTACTAAAAACCTTTATATTGGAGAATACACAACATTTAGTTTTAAAACAGCATACAAATGCTACAAGTTAATGAATAAAACATGCTACTACTTGTATAACATTTAAAGCAAAGTGTAAACAAAACTAGAAACAAAAATCTTCCTACTTGCACTTTTTAACTACTGCAGTTTAAAGTACAACACATAAACAATCAGAAAAGGTTCTAACAGTACCTTTAAATTTAACGCAGAACTCTGAAGGTACAAAGAATGTGGAAAGGGCAACAAAAAGGCATTGGACATCATCATTAGAGTTTTCGCCTCCAGGAGAAAAACATGTTTTCCTGTCACTGCATCACAGGTCATACTTTTAATAAAATCAAACTGTAAATTCCATTCCCTTATATTAATGTTCACATTCAGGCAACTCAATGTTTGCCTGTGATTTTTAACAACAGCTGCAACTATACTCCCAGGATTTTTGCTTAAAGCATTAACCATGAGTTGTAAACTCTGTCTGGAAGATACTCTAGTAGAATCAGGTACAAACAAAACATATTTAGACTTTATTTCACTAATGGGATAATTATCCACAAAACTACTTCTCAAATCTGGAGATAACTTTATAAATTTAATATGTGGAAGCGTATTATTAGTTAACACTATATCAAGAGGAGGGTATGGAAGCTCGTCGTACATCAGAAATATTTGCATCCTCATAAAAGCATTGGTAAAAGAATGTAAGGTTAAAGTCACATCGTTTTCATGTAATTCAAAATCTCTTAGTATGACTGTCACTAATTCATTTAAACGCTTTTTTGGAGGCTTTGGAATTGGAGGTGTTATTATTTTATCTTCTATATTTGACTGTATTATACCAGAAAATAAGCGAGAAGCGTAGTAAAATGTTAATATTTTTATTAGGAGAAGCACAAACAAAAATGGTAGTGTTTTAAATGATCTTAAACGCATAATAAATTAAAACTTACTAATGACACTTTTAAATTTGCAAACCTATCGCTGTATTAATAATAAAATAGTATTTTTTGCCATTATTGTGCTTTTGGTTTTAAACTAAATTTCTTCTTCCGCTTTAAAAGCGTTATTGAACGATCTTCTTTTTTATAAGTAGAACTCAATCGATAAGAGCCTCTACTAAGTTAACAGCTAGTTGCTGGTTTAGGATGAAGTTTTCTTGCGCACCCGTATACTAATATGAAAAAAAATTGATATTCTTGATTAATTTAAATTTTAAACTTTCAGTATTTTTCTAGTTTTTTTTTTCAATTTGTCATTGAGAAAAATGTATAAAAACTATTATAAGGAATGTTCCAGTTATAATTAATTCTCCGCAAATAAATAGAAATATCTATAGCATATTTACAATGAAGTATGAATGAAACCACATGAAACCTTTTGGCTAGGTATTTCATAAATGTATTATATTCTTATATATCCATAGAGAGGACAGTTCTTTTTATTGTATAGCTTGATTTGTCAGAGAAAAGTGTTTAATCGTACGAGTCCAGAATTACGGTTTTCTTTTGGAATATAAAACCACAGGATACATCATCATTATAATACCGACATCGTGAAAAAAAGATTGCCATGGAAGCTCACCCTTAATATTTATTGTCCTAATGTATAATATTATAATAACTTAGCAGGTGGCACACAGTCACATACTTTAAAATTATTTCATTGGTTTTATGTTCTAAGAGTTTTCTAGGTGAGATAAAAAGAACCCCTCCACTCCAATAATAAGTTTTCTCTTTAGTCCATGAGATGATAAAATAATATTACAGATTGTTCCCGATGTACAAAAATTTTCAGTTTTGCCTAGAAGGATATCTTCATTTATTAAACCTATGATATGGTAGGGGAGCTAGGGGCACCTTGAAACATTGATCGTATTTCAAATTCTGGCGGGTAAATGAGAAACTGTTACTGTCAGTGGCGCTTCGGTCGACGTAATCTTTGTTTCGTTATTAACAGTTGTAGGGTGGATGTAGTTTTGACGAAGTTGAAGAAATTGTGTAACAAAACTAAATCAAATAAATAATATAATAGTAGAACTAAATTTTTACGTGCGGACATCGTTTACTGCAATATTTTATCTAGTTGAGTAGCATTATTCGAAACGTTTATATTTACTGAATTGCTTTTACGCATTTTCTTTCCTATAATTGTTATGTTTTTTGTGAATTTGACATAAAATAGAAAATATGGACGTTTGGGGGTACAATAAAACATAACTCGACGGGACACTTTGAAACGTTTCAAGGTGCTCCATTAATATTTAATCAAAATAATATTTTTATTTTTGTTCCAGTATTGTTCAAAATCGTCAGAAAACACCAATAAAAGTTTGTTTCTCGAGACTGACATAAAAGATGCAGTAGAGCTCGTTTGTCAAAGCCACTCCATCAGGCGGACAGCAGAATTAAAAAATGTAAATTACGTAATATTATCTAGGTATGTGACAAGTGTTTAATGCAGAACAAAAAAATAAACTGAGAGAGTATTTGCTAATGTGTTCCAAAATGTTTTATGGTCTTCCAGTGACGGAATGCAAGAAAGTTGTCTATGTCATGGCAGTAACACAGAATAATAAACAATTGTTTATTATTCTGTGGCAGTAATGAATAAAATAAAATATCCAATTTCATGGAAGGCTAACAAATCGGCAGGACAAGATCGGTTGTATGGGTTTTTGAAAAGAAATCATCGCTCAGTCAAAAATACGTCTCAGGGATGTAGTTTGTCCCGAGCTACTTCTTTCAGAAGGACAAATGTAGAAGTGTTTTTTTGATAATTTGCAAGCAGTATACAAAAATCCTTACTTTGCAGATGGAACACGAGTAGTTCAGCAGCCTTAAAAAATAATTCCCTAAAAAGAACCTAAGCAGGTTAGCAAGTGCACTAGTGCTGAGAAGGGTACTAATGTGACAACCTGTTGTTTTATCTCAGCGAGCGGCAACTGTACATCCAAGTGTACACTTTAAGCCTTTCATGGTGCAGGAAGCTCTCACTAGTACTCTTGGTTTGACAAATCCATGAGGCTGGATGACTTCTGTATTGTTTGTTGAAGTTTCTAAACGTTTCATCCACCACTCAAAAAGCAGCATGCAGTCGCCCCCTCTGATATTATGCGACAATCACGAAAGTCATTTAGCATTGAAGGCTCTTAATTTGTGAAAAGAGAATGGAGTATATTAACTATTCCAACACATTCCACCAATAAATTGCAACCGTTAGACGTTGGAGTGTTTAAGCCATTCAAAACGTATTACAATGCTGCAATAGATACTTGGATAATGCAGCATCCTGGACAAACAGCAAATATTTAGAATGTTGCTGGTTTTGTAAAGATTGTTTACGGGAGAGGAATGACTCCATCAAACATTACTGCTGCTTTTAAGAAAACAGGGATTTATGACAAACATGTTTTCATCGATGCCGATTATTGATGTAATTACGTTACTGATCGACCAATGGCGGACTTGCCAGGTAAAAGAGGATCCACCGTCAGGTGATGGTCCTGCTGAAAAAATCAACAACTCAACAATGGAAATCGATGCAGATGCCAACTGCTCAAGTTTCAATAACAACTCTCAAGATCCCTGTACTTCTACTACCATCAGTACTAAAAAATTTCCTCATGCGGACCGAAAGATTATAGAGGATTTCCCAAGGCAGGGAGTAGGAAAAACAATAAAAACGGTCGAGCCAGAGGAAACAGTATGATAGCAACTACTCCAGAAATGACTGCAATTACCAAAAACGGCGGTATCAGTAGCAAAAAGAGAAATGGTCAAACGAAAAATAACACATTTTAATAAGGACACTAGGAAAGAAATCCAAAAAAATCGAAGAGGTTCAGTTTTCATCTGAAAAAAAAGATGTAGGTAATTATATTAAGACAGATGACGACTTGGAGGTCATTGAAGACATTTTAATTCTTAATGAAGACAAATTCATAGATCTGGATATGTCTCCCATTAAAAATGATTATGTACTGGTGGAAAATAAATTAAACAGCCATAATAGTAAGTTATACGTTGGAGTTGTTATGAAAGAGAAGAATACGAGCGGAGATTTCGAAATGAAGTTTTTCAGAAAAAAGGACATAACACCTTTGTAGAGCCACCAAATGAAACATTTTTTTTTAAACTTGAATTGATTATTACTCAAAATAGTTAATAATAAGGTTTTTGATGCTACTAGTACCGAACGACATCTTTTAAAACACATTTCAAAATGATACACCTACATGCAAAAACAGGAAAAATAAAAAACCAATTTGTGTTTCATTGTGCCCCGTGCTCCCCTATATGAAACTTTTGTATCGCATTTACCAATTTGAAAGGCGATTTTTGCTCTTTATGACGTGTAAGTTGGTAATTTACTCTTTCAATTTACTGAGTAATAATGTAAATAATCGTTAGGACAATCTGTGCTAACTGATGCAAAAGAAATCTTCATTGAGGTGTATGATGTTTTCAACCCTTTACAGCAGAAGACTTGTACCTAGCAAAATTTTTCTCTTGCAATTAAAACTTAAAACTATATTATTAACTATATATTTAGTACACTGTTTTTACAATATTTTTCACGTAGAATTTGAAATTGTCCAATTTTTTTTTGCTGCAAGGCTTAGATTATGAATTTTATTTAGTATTATATTTATATGTGATTAAGCCAGTGTCACCCATTTTTAACCAAATAGTGTTTGACTAATATTTAAATTAGATATGCCACAAGCACAAGAAAGTAGTTTTAGAACCTTGATAATTTTATTGTTTAAAGATTTTTATCTGAGATCCCTTGTAGAACTGGAACTGGCAACCGTGTGTGACTGTGTCAACCAATCAAGTAGGCTATTGGTCGCTGTTTGTTGACTAGCACCGGTAGCGTAGCATCAATCAGCTGTTTATGACATTTTGGAAGCTCGTTAGTAGTAGTCACATAATTTTTGTCAACAAAGACCATTTATGGTGGATGATTTTTCCACCGTTGTGAAAATGGCCATGCCATCTATAAATCCTGTTAATTACATTATCGAAAGACAGTATAAAGACAATATTTTTATAAAAAATAAATTGGTTAGTGCTAGGTTGTCAAAAGCTAGAAATTTATACAGGAAAGATCTGCTTGCACATTATGGGTGTGTGAATGCCATAGAGTTTTCTAATGATGGTGAATATTTAATCTCTGGTAAGTATATTTTACGTAATAATTATATCATTTACAATTCTCTTTAAATAGTTTTTGAAAAAGTTGAAAAATCAACAAATATATTGTGAGTGTTTGACATTGAGTACAATCTGTATAGTACATATTGCATATTGTCTACTTTTGATAATTTATAGGGGTTGAAGATGTGTTAATACGCAAAAAGTTTATTCCAACTACGTATTTGATTAAATTTATATATTTCAAAATATAATTTACATTTATTTATTTTTAAAATATGTATCACTTTTTATCATCTGAAAATTTTTGTTCTAATATACCATAACTAAAATTTTGACATTTTTATATTATTTTTTTCTTTAATATTCATGTGTCTCTGGTAATATTTCTCTTTTTTTATCTACAAGGCTCTTTTATTTCTTATCATAAAGCTTTTCTACTTGAAAGCTGTCATTATTTACTCCCTGAACTTCTTTTAACTGTACCATTGGATTTCAGTGTCCTATATTTTTTATTCTTTACATTTTCTTCAATTTGTATATGTTCCTCTTCTAATTTTTTGTAGTCCCTTTTTGTTCATTGTCCATTTTTTTTTGTCAGTTTGAACATTTATGCCTGCCTATTTTTTTTTTTGTTTTTCTTTTAATTATGTTCTTAATATTACCATTACTTAATTATTATATCCTTTTTTTTTCAATAGTCTAAGCTTTTTTCATGAATTTTTATACTTGTTTCAGTGGGGTGTGTTACTGGTGATATTTGTATAACTTTCAATCAATTTAAATATTTTCATCTTAGTACTTACTTCCTTTTGATACTTTTATCCTTCCTTTTTTTAATTTTGAGACTCTTAGAATGTATTTATTATTCTGAAAGCAATTTTTACATATGAGCATCTGTTCTTAAACTTAAAACTGCATTGTGATCTTTAAATCTATATTTATACTTAGGAATAGATAGAAGAGATACAAAAAGAGAGTTAAAACTAAATATATTTTGACAATTTGGTCAAAAATGAATTAAATTTTGTTACAAAATACCTTAAAATGTTCATTGCAATTTGCCCAAGTGTTTTTATTTGCCTTCCTTATGTTACAAAAGGTCTTAAAACAATAAAAATTGGCTTTTAAAAGTTTTGTCATGCTGTATTCATCAGATGGATGAATTATTTGCTGAGTTTTTCAAAATATGCACAAAAAGAAAATAATTGGATATTAGAAAAATATTTCTATTTTAAGCATTTTTATAAAATACTTGTATATTTTGGGTGTATATTTATATTCAGATTTATTATATGTAGTTATGTGAATAATGTGAAAGTAACTTTTAATAGTTTCTCCTTTTTTTTTTAAATATATTATTTAAAAATCATTTTAAATACATTTATACTATTTTTAATAATTACCAAATATATAAAAATGTTAACAAAGATATTGTAATCCTCAAACTGTATTGGAAATGGGACTGTTTTACTTACTTTTACTTCACACAAAATTCAGGGTCAGTAGTCTTGCAGCATCTTCAATAAGAGCAGTAAACTGATCTGGGTCATCAGGAATATGAAAAAATTATATAACGTCTCAACAATTCTCTGCCTTCTATTATATTGCTTAATCTTGCCTTATATACTGTTTCAATGTTTTCTTGGATGCATGCCAAAACAAAATCATTCATTTCATTAACACCTTCTGCAAAACTCTTCTTAAATGTTATTTTCTAGTTGTTACTCAATATAAGTTAATTCATCAGAGGATAATGAACCTAATTCAGATATGTCTTCTTCAGTATCATCTTTAGATATTTCATGTTTCTTGTATTTCTTAGATCCCTACTTTTAAAACATACAACTGTTCTTTGAAAGGTATTTTGCCTTCTACTGTTGTTTTTGCACTTTTCTGCTTTCTTGTTTGACATGTCAGTGAGAATTTTCATTTTCACAGGTACTGATGTTTTTTTCTTCCAGGAGGTGCTTACAGTAATAGCTTGACTTCTTCTCGTATCGTATAAGAATGAGAAGGTCCAACTTATTTTTTGAGTAACTTTTCTGACAAGTAAAACATTAAATAGTGTTGCAAGACATTAGAATTGGCTCTATCTGTAACTTTTAAAGTTAAAAAGTTCCGTTCTCAACATAAATCAGTGTTGAATTGATATAACGATAAAAATCAATTTTTAAAGTTCTCTCATTACTCAATCCTGTTTATTCATGTTAAAAATATAAAATCTTACACATGTCAAATATGTACAAAACCTCAATTAAAAGAATACACAGAAGAAGTTAGGTCAAGAATGGGACAAACAAGAAAGGGATTCAACAGAATGAATAAAGATTTTAGTAGAAGAGACATTACAATGTCTTTAAAGATAGGACTATTAAGATGTTATGTTTTTTCTGTTTTATACTATGGTATGGAAGCGTGGACTCTAAAGAAATGTATTACAAACTGAAAGCATTAGAATAGAATAGAAATATGTAGAAATATGCTTTATTGCCACTGAAAATTGTACAATTTTATGGACCAAGCTTACAAAAGTTAGAAAATAACAGTAAAAATTTTAAATTTACTGAAATGACATAAATCGTCAATATCACAAAATAAAAGATAATAAAATACACAATCTACTGCAAAATTTAAATAAACTGCAAATTGCATAATAAAACCTTACGAACTAATAAGTTAAAAAATCCGTAAAATAGTTTCGAAACACAATTCAGAGAAACACAATTCACACATTGAGAACTCCTATGAATAGCTGTTCTGATGAGACCTATTAGGTCAAAATATCTATCAACAGATACATAGGAATTGTTTGCTTGAAATCAAATATTTGCTGTCTTTTTCATTTTAATAAGTTAAAGTTGCTGCATGTGATACCCAAATATAAAAATAGTTTAAATACTTGTACATAAAGGTACTGTGGTTTCTTAGCTAATTTGTTAAGAAACTCTTCTACTGAATAATATGGTCTTTCAGATATATAGGCTTTTGTCATTTTACGGAACTTAAGGAAAGAAGTTGCAGATTTAAGTTGCAAAAGTTGTATAATTTTTTTGCCGAAAATAATATAGATTTCTTTACTAACTCAGTGGATAGGAATCGGTAAATACACATCAAAGGTTGAATTTCTAGAGGAGTCTTGCTGGAAAAGCATGTTGGTGTTTACGAAATAAGTAAACAGTTTCTAAAATATATAAAGAGGGAAGGGTTAAAATCCTGTGATTTTTGAAGTAGCTTCTGCAATGTGTTATTCTACTGAGCGAATTGAAACCTCAATACTCCGGGAGTATTGGATTTTAGGAAGTGTAAGACTTCCAAATTCCAGAAGAACTGGAAGAGAGGTGATGAAAATACTAAAAATAAGGCTAAGCTCAGAGGAACAAAGTTAAATGGCCAAAGAGACACTAAATCTCAAGTGAGTGTTCGGGCTAGCTTCAATGCACTGGATTGTGGCTTTAAAGATATAAAGCAGATAGTAAGGATAATGAACTAATGAGACAAGAAACGAAATGAGGCCTGTTAATATCATACGTGATACAACTAAAGAAGATCACTGGGAATAAATTTATATATAAAAAGGACGATCAGAAGAGAAGAAGAAGGGCGCCAACTCAACGATAGTTGAGATTTTGAAGTAACAAATGACTGGAAACAAATGATACTGGAGATAATAACCTGAAATACAAAATATTAAATACCAATCTTGTCTTGCTATATTGTATACTGGTTAGTAGAACTGAAATAAAACTCAAAATAGTAACAATAAATATATTTATAAAAATGTGTATATAGATATATATGTATGAACAATTTACATATAAGGCAAAACTAAATAACAGTGGTAGTGGGTGGTGTAAAGATACAATAGGACCTAATAGCCCCTCAACAAGCGGTCAAGGAGGTCAAAGGAGGTCAAAATATTGCTCTTTTTTGTAATTTAAAAATAACATCAGATTGGGCAGCTGTACTAGAATCCCAAAAACGAGGACCATATCGAAGATGAGACTTGAACAAATAAAAATAGGTTATTTTGGAAGATGCTAAATTGATTTCAAAACAGGTCTTATTACATAGCAGGCTAAGGCGAGTTTCTTACTTAACAAATCGATATGAAGGGACCATTTAAGGTTGCTGCCTATAAAAATACCAAGAAATTTTACAGAATCAGTAATACTGATCTGGCTGTTATTGAGAAGCAAGGGTTGAAGAGCTCCCTTATAGGATAATGCTACTGTCTTATCCACATTAAAATTAGAGTTGGACCAGGATTTTATTTTAAGTAGATTAATTTTACTAGGTGGTACCATCAGCAAAAAGAAAACATTTTTTCCATCAATTTTTAAGTTAGTGATGTCATTTATAAAGATAAGGAAAAATAGAGGACCCAATAATGAACTTTGTGGTACTCTTCATGCAATACTTTTGTGATTAGAGTCAGTATCATTTGCTCTAACTAGTTGTTTTCTATTCCCCAAGTAAGATTCGAACCAATTCAAAGAAATACCTTGATTTCCTTAAAAATTTAGTTTTTTTTATCAAAATGTAGTGATTTACACAATCAAAAGCTTTGGCATTTTGATGCTATTGATTGTTTGGATCAGTTCAGATTTATCAACTGGTCTTATAAAGAATGAATTGGAGACCTTTTTTGAATTGGGGAGATAGAAAATAGAATCTTGTGTCAAAATAGTTGATGTTATATTTTTACTTACATTAACGAAGTATTTTTTTAATGGCATAGACATTAGTCATTCAGCCAGGTTAACGAAGTATTCATTTAGATTTTCAGGGTTTGGAAGAGCAAATGTTTAAGCTGTGTTAGTTTTATTTCGAAGATCATTTATTATGAACCAAGTTTCTTTTGCAACATTTTTAGAGCTTCCTAGACGATTTTGATTTTGATGAAGTTCTGAGCGGAAAAATTCCTACCTAAACGTTGGGTTTTCGAGGGTGGATTGTTGAGAGTATTAAACTTGGTATATACTGCTTCATGATCAGATAGTCCTACATTAATTGTAAAAG